TTCTATTAATAGAATTTCGCAGCCTCCGGTGTGTTGGATCCTCTCTCTCTCTCTCCCTTTCCCTCTCCCCCTCTCTCACTACTTCCACGCAATCTCCCCCCTTTCTCCGTCCTTCAATTACTCTCATCCAATATTGCGGCAGGTTTTTATATTTAATTAAACGAAAAATGAAATTTCCCGTTTCTAATTTGTAATAATAATAATAATAATAATAATAATAATAATAATAATAATAATAATAATAACAACAACAACGGATGAATTAAACGATTGTAATGGTCTGTTAAGAAGAAAATAACATTAATCCCTGTTGTTGTTGTTTTGCCCGTTTTTCTCGATCCCTACTCCCCCCCCCTTACCCGCGTAAAAAAAATCCTTTTGCGGAAAGAAGATTGCGTCAACGGCGATGATGATGATGATGACGAAGAAGAAGGAAGAGGAAAAATACATTAAAAATAAAAATAAAAAAAGATGGTCGCGTATCATAAATCTAAATTGGCGGATTGCCCTAAAAAAAAAAAAAAAATTTTCTTCTCTTCTCTTCACTTCGATAATGAGTCGGAGCGTTTGAGTGCAAAACAAAATAGAAAAAAAAACCTGAGGGATTAATCGGGATTTGGCACCTGAATCCGGAAAAAAAAAAAATAGAAAAGATTTTTCTTCCAAGAGGAGAGAGGAAGAGAGAGAGAGAGAAGAGAGAAAAACTTTTTGTTATTTACTACACACCACCACCACACGTATTTCCTCCTTTCCCCCTCCCCCCTCCTTCCCCGTTCTCCTTTTCGATCTTTTCCCCTCCCGTCCCTCCCGCCGCCTTCCTTCTTCTCCTCTCGCCTTAATTAACGAATTTTATTTTATTTTTCGGGTCATTAAATTTATAAAAAAAATTTTTTTTTAAAAAACCTGAAACGACTACAACTCGTCCTAAAATTGCCAATTTAAAAAATGGCCTCTTTTCGAAATTAATAAAAGAAAGAAGCTCGACATGTTTTTTTTTTGATAAATAAAAAAAAAATCCGACATTTTCCACACGATTTCCACCTTCTCTTCCATTCCTTTCCTTTCCTTTTAGGTTGTAAACAAAAGGCTACATTACGATCGCCACTCCGACTGACTGACCTTCACCCATTGGCAAAAAAAAAACATTTCGTTCAGGCGATTGACCTGACTTAACAGATTTTATGCCAACCTTTCCTTTGAATCCAACAATAACCATGACTGTACTCTCTATACGTAAGAAAATAAATAAATAAATAATAATAATAATAATAATAATAATAAACGTATGTCAAGGTTTAATTATGACTAAAGAGACCCGGTCATCATCATCATCATCATCATCATCAAACACTTTTTTCATCATCATTTTTATTATTATTATTATTATTATTTATTTATTCTCTTTCTCTCTCTCTCTCTCTCTCTCTCTCTCTCTCTCTCTCTCTCTCTCTCTCTCTCACACTCTCTCTCGACTTTCGTATGAGTGTATTAAACCTGAGCTAGAGGTAGGAGTCAACGTACGAAGAGATTAATTGCAACGTCAATCTTGATGGATAAACAAAATTAATTTTACGCTTTGATAATAAAATTAAAAAAAAAAAAGAAAAACTTCCCCCCTTCTCCCCTCTCAGCCCCAACGTGGAAACGATTGAAACGCACCGCTTTTATTTACTCTATGAAATGTCCAAAACAACAACAACAACAGAAAAAAATTTTCTTTTTCTTTTTTTTACCTTTTACCTATCTAAGTTAGTCAGTTTCAGTCTCGGTCTCCCTCCCCTCCCCCTCCCCCTCTTTTTTATGTAGACGGATTTGATTCTTTTTCCGGTTAACAAATTTTTTTTTCATGAAATGTGAAATTGACATTTCATTAATTATTATTTAAAAAAAAAAAAGAAAAACCGGAAGTAGCAATGAGTCGGTGCAGCGGGTTAAAAAAAAACGACTTTTTAGCAAAAAAAAAATTATTTTTCACGATTTAAACAATTTTTGACAGATCTTTTCATAATAATAATAATAATAATAATAATAATAATAATAATAATAATAATAATAATAATAATAATGATAAAAACTTGTCGTGCTTTGGGATAAAATTTATTTTCTTTTTTCTTTTTTTTTTTTTTTTAATATCAACGTAATTAATAAATGTTACCGCCGACGAGTACCTCGTTACCATTAAACCACTTTCAAAGACTATTACCGCACCACCACCGCCACCACGACCACCCCCACCCCCCACCGCCACCGCCGTCGCAACCTCCACGAATGCGTTCTGGGTTAAATGAAAAAAAAATTTTTTTTTTTTTTTTTTTTTTTTTTTCTGGTAAAATTCCTTGACCGAATCGTGAGTCGATCGTAATTGTGTCAAAAAAGAAAAAAAACTTTAAACTTCAAACTAAATTTTTTTTTTTCCTTCGTTCAAGATATTTAATAACGCACTAATAATAATAATAATAATAATATTGATAAAAATAATGCTTGCTCTGCCGTAAAATAGCAGTAAGATAGAGATAGAGACAGTGAGACAGCTTTGACAGCGAGAGAGAGAAAGAGATAGAAAGACAAACACAAATAATAATAATAATAATAAAACATAAAAAAAAAATTTTTTGAACTTTAATCAAACGAACGAGAGTCCAAAAATTACAATAATAATAATAATTAATTAATTCATTCATTCATTCCATTATGGCAACAACGTAAACAAAAATCAAACAAATTGCACAATCAAAATCCGTGGTTTACATATATTTCAATATCAATATGGTCTACGACGACAACAACAACAACAACAACAACAACAAATAAATAAAAAATGGTTTTTCATTTTAAATTTTTTATGTTTATAAATAAAACATCTTCAACAACAACAACAACTATTTGGGCATTTTAAGAGGCATACGAAAGAATGTGAAAGAGTTGTGTGTGTGTGAGAGAAAGAGAGATAGATAGATACGAGTACTATTTGCTCTTTTCATCAAACTCCATTTTTTTTTCTCGTAAAGAACAAATTTAATTACTGGGTCAACTCAAACGCCAAAATCAACCAAAACCTACCTTCCATCATAATTGTTACATTTAAAAAAAAAAAAAAAAAAAAAATTCGCCCGAGGGTTTAGACACCCTTCATATCATTATTATTATTATTATTATTATTACATATATAATTTGTGAACTTTACGTACGGACCGCTTAAATATACTTAAAAGAAAAAAAAAAGTTTTGGGCATTCGAGTGATCGAAAACGTTTTTTTTTTTTTTTGGAAAGTTGTTTTAGGCGGCGGTGAAATTTTTTTGTTACTGCCGTACGACAAAGGTTCCCCTCCACCAGCAAGATATAAACGTTTGCGAAAGACAGAGAGAAAAAGAGAGAGAGAGAGAGAATCAAAAAAAAAAAAAGTTCAAATGAATCTTTTAGTAGTAGTAGTTGGAAAGTTTAAACTAAATTGACCGATCGGCCGATATGCGGAATTAACGGTTTCATTCGTTTCCGAGCCCACCCACAACGTTTACACATAAAAAAAATATAAATAATAATGATGATGATAAAAAAAAAACGTAAACAACAACAACAACAACCGAACAAATATTGATTGATAAAATAAAAAAATAATTACTTCAATGACGACGACTTTGTATTTTTTGTTTTTTTTTAAACAAAACAAAACTTTTGTATAAATTAAATATTAATTAATAATAATGATAATAATAATAATAATAATAATAATAATAATAATAATATTAAAAAACTTTTAAAACTGTGAGAACCGAAATAAAAAAACGTATTTTTTTTTAACCCACAGTGTCAACGACTTTCAATTTTTTTTAAACTGTCTTCCGGACAATCTAAAACCTACGAAATTGATTAATATAATAATAATAATAATAATAATGATAATTAATCAATGCGACTTTTCCTTGACTGATTTCTCACGCTGCTAGAAAACGTTTAAAAACGACAAAAAAAAACAACAGGAACTTACGAATCATTATTATTATTATTATTATTACTATTTTTTTGAGTTTTTGTGTTTTTTTTGTTTTGTTTTGGTAATTCTTATTTTAAACCTCTTTCGATGTGCAGATGGTTAAATAACAAAAAAAAAAAAAAAAAAGGAAACCCAAAAAAAAAAAAAAATTGTTTTTGTTTATAATTATTATTATTATTATTTTTCGAAACGTCCTCACGCATTTAAAAATAAGTTTAACTCGTTTCGTATGCGGGAATTTAATAAAATAATAATAATAATAATTTTCACAATCTTTTCCTCCTCCTCCCGAAAATTTACCCCCCCCCCCCGGTCCCGAGAGCAAATTCCTCGACAAAGATGAAATAAAAAAAAAAAAAAAAAATTAATTCATTCGTTCGTTCATTCATTCATTCATTCATTTCAACCCTCAAAAATGGGTGAGATGTTTGCTCCGTTTCTTCCACGATTAAAAAAAAAAAAAAAAAAAAAAATTAATTTTTTTTCGTGGGATTTTTTTTTATCGAGTCAACATTCAATAAACGAAGACGACAACAACAACAACAACAACAACAACAACCACGCAAAATAAAAAATCTCAATGGAACAAACGTTAAACATACAACAAGCACGCATACACACACAAACAAAATGACAGTCGAGATTATAAACTGAGGATTAGGGAACCTTGAGAAAGAAAGAAAGAGAGAGAGAGAGAGAGAGAGAGAGAGAGAGATTTTTTTTTTAAATTAAGAAGACCCCCAAAAAAAAAAAAAAAAAATTTGATAGATTAGGGTTCGATAACTGACAGTTAAACATTTCCCTAAACAGACCGAATTAAAAAAAAAAAAAGGAATATTTTTATACATATAAATTTAATACAGTTGAATGAATATGAAAAAAAAAAAAAAAATGAAATCGAAATGAGGTTTTCCACCCTTTCCCCTCTCCCTCCCCCATCATCACCTTCTCCCCCTTCTTTCCCATTTTGTTTAATTTAATTTGCGACAGAACGAATGAATGAATCAATCAAATGCACTCTAATAATAATATTAATGAGACACCTGCGATAATTTGAAAAAAAAAAAAAAAAGGTACGCCTGCCAACATTTAAAAAAAAAAAAAAACACAAGTGTTGTCGTTTGTACACGACAACAACAACAACAACAACAAAAAAGACAAGTCGTAAATAACATTGAAATAACATTTAAAGGAGATTTATCGACACGAAAGAAAAAATAAAAGGAAAAACAATACAAGTAATGGTCACGTGAATAATAATAATAATAATGATAATGATAATAGTAGAAAAAGAAACTCACCAGAATCGGATGGCGTTTGAACTCCCAGATTATCCATCCTGGCATTTTTACTCAGGTGGTAGCAATGGTCACTGAAAAAACTGTGCGTCGTATAATGTCGCGTCATAGGCACTTCTTGCTTTATGTTAGTCCGATTAACTTTCGTACCGGGAGACACTTTGGACGATGATTCCGTAAAGCTTTTCACGCTCGACGTGTCTCCGCCGTTAATACCATCCAAATACAAATCGAATACCTCACTATCATCGTTCGAGTTCGATACGTCACTTCCCACGTTATTGATAATGTCACAAACGAAATTATATCCGAAAGTATCGACGGCAAAATCTTCGACCGTTTTTATGTCCGGCAAGTCCAAATTTAAATCTTCGTTATCCGATAAACTTTGGGGAGTTTCCGGACGGGGGGATTCGCCCGACTCCGTCAAACCTCCACCGGGTTTCCCCCCCCCATATGGCCTCCCGGATGTTGCGGCGTTTTGTTTATTTTGCGAGCCTTTCACCGGAGCGTTCACGACTCTCGTGGGTAGGAGTATGCTCCTCGCGTGAGTCGGAGCGACGACGGCATTTTTCCTTATGAACACTTTATTATTACTCTCCGGTATCATTTTGCTCTCGGGCGTCGCGGTCACGGCCACCACTTTCGGCTCTTCCGCTTTCGCCGCGGGTTTTTTCAACGGCAACAAATTGATGCACTTTGATATTTTCTGATTGTTTTTATCGTGTTTTTCGCTTATGCAATGACCCGCCCACATGCAATCGTGATTCCTTATTTCCCTCGCATCTTTCGTCATTTTCTGATCGTACATGGGGCTCATCCACGTCACGCTCGCGACATCTTCCAAAAGGTCGTCCAATTCTTCGTCGAAACCAAACTCGTCCGTCATATCGAATTTTTTCCATATGTCGTCGTTGGGTAAATTCGGACTCACTCCCCGATTGGAGTAAAATTCGGCTTCCGTGTCGCCGGACGACGTGTTCAACGCGTGATCCAGGTGAAAACAAGACTGCAAGTCTCCGGGATCTATATCCCAATCGAACTTAACAGGCATTTTTCAAATCTGGAACAGAAAAAAAGAAAAAAAAAAAAAAAAAATCGAAATCAATTGCCACGTAATTTTCCCGCGTAAAAAACAAAAACAAACAAACTGTTTAAACCGTGTTAATAATAATAATAATAATGATAATGATAATACATTCTTTTCGATAATTTCGCATATAGGAAAGCAAAATTTTTTTTTTTTTATGAAATTAAAATATAAAAATGACCCGGGGGGAAAATTTCGTCAAAAATAAAAAAAAAAATTTACGGCCTAGATTTTTGCATTTTAAAAAAAAGAAATCATTAATGGCTAATTACGGTGGTCCCGTTTGACCCTCGGGTTGGCGTCTACACCCAAGGATCGAACCTTAAATACTGTTAATGTAACACACGCATTTAATAATAATATTGTGTAAGGGCAATCATAAATAAAAAAAATACGCGGTTATCATTATTTACGTCAGTCGTTGTAACAATTCACCATCCAGTTAACATTACGTACGTATCGCCACACACACGCACACGCACACACACGCACAACCGCCGCGATTACATAAAAAACAAACATTTATTTACCTACGTTTACAATCATCGGAAATGAATTGTTTTGAAAATTTGATGGGGAATACAAATTTCAGCAATCTTTTGCCACGTCTTTTTCTCTCTCTCTCTCTCTCTCACTCACTCTCTGCCACGATAGAATCCGTCGATCTGAGAAAGTTTGCTTTTATTTATTTATTTATTTACTTTTATTTTTATTTAAAGTTTACGACGAGGGCAACGTCCTCCGCGACGTTTTAATAATAATAATGATGATGATAAATAGGCATAAAAGAGAAAGAAAAAATTTATAAATAAAATTTTATTCGTAAAAATTAAATCAGGTACGAGGCATATTTTTAACAACCGGAGTGTGATAATAATAATAATAATAAATAAATAAATCATTACAACACACGATTGAAAACAATCAATTTCATCGTTATTGGTGGTAACCAATGAAAAAGGAATTTCGACGGCGATAATAATAATAATAATGATAAAACATTCGAATTCTCGTAAAAAAAAAAAAAAAAAAAATATTTTAAAAAAAATTTAGAAAATGAATTTTCTTGATCGCGTTGCGTGACGCCAACAATACATTTTTTTTTTTTTTTTTTTTTTTATTTTATTTCGACGACGTAAACAAAAAAGTTGCATATATACAAATATTAATAAAAAAAAGACAATTCAATAGGGATTCCCTTCCTGCCCCCCTTTCCCTTCCCCCACTCTCCGATCTGATCAATAACGGTAATGTCCATAATGTTAATAATAATAATAAAAAACGTTGAAAAATAATATAGGAAAAAACAAATAAATAATAATAATAATAATAAATTCAACGTGGTGCAATCTCTCGTATGAATGCCATTTCATCATAACGGCAAAAAAAAAAAGTGTCAGGAGACAAGAAAAAAGAATTTATTTGAAAATAAAATGAAATAAAAATCACACGCACTCAAAAAAAAAAAAAAAAAAAAAATCCGAAATCGTCTGGGTCGTTAAAAAAAAAAAAAAAACAAGTGAAAGCCGGCTTAAAACGCTGCCATTGTTAAAAAGAATACATGTTACGCAACCCGATGCAATTCAAGGAAGGAAAGAGAGAGAGAGAGAGAGAGAGAGAGGGAGAAAACGTTTGAATCAAGTTGAAGACGTATACGTCTACGACTACGACTACGACCACGACGACAACGACAACGACGACGACGGCGGCGACGTAAGCAAGTTGCGGGGAAAAGAAAGAGAGAGAGAGAGAACGAGGAGCGAAGGAAGGTAGGCGTGAGAGGGAAAGAAAAAGAAATAACGAAGTGACGAAGAGGAATAAGAAAGAGAGGAAGAGAGAGAAGGGAAACCGAGACGAAAAGCCGGAACGGAACGATTTCGAAGGGCAAGAGGGGTAAGTGGAGAAGGAGGTGAAGAACGTGGAGGAAGACTACGACTACGACTACGATGGCGAAGCGGCGGCGGCGGCGGAAAAAGTCGAAAAAAAACGGGGAATAACGAACGATCGTAAAGAACCGGCAAAATTCATGCTATTTTTCTTCAAATAGAAAAATCACTAGTATATGGTATTAAATATATACGTGAAGCAAAAAAAATTAAAAAAATTTATTTTTCGTAAGCTCATCATCATCATCATCATCATCATTATTATTATTAAAAAAAAAACGTTTAATTTATATTTATTTATCATCGTTTACGAAGAATCAATTCGACGAATTAAATAAAAAAAAAAAAACTCAATTACTCAACCGTACTACGATTCAAAGAATCCATCTTTTTTTTTTTTTTTTCAACTCTTTCGATAATTATTATTATCATTATCATTATTATTAATATTAACGATCGATTTCGTAATAAAAAAAAAAAAAAAATTTTAAAAGAAACAAAAAAAAAAAAAAAGATTTGTCGTACACAACTTACCTTTTACGAAATTAATCGGAAAAAAAAATAAAAATAAATTAATAAATAATATTTAAACGTGAGCAGATGATGGATTATCCAAATTATTTTTTTCCTTTTTTATTTATTTATTTATTTTCAAAAAAAAAAAAATAAAAAAACTCGTTTTCTATCCTTATTTTACGCGCGTGTGTGTGCGTGCGTGCGTGTTATCTCCTCTCTTTCTTTTTATTACTTTAACAACAGCAATAATGTTGTTGTTGTTGAGATGGATGTTGTTGTCGATTGATGAAAAATAATTAATAATAATAATTAATTAATTAATCCAAGTCTCGATATTTATAAAAAAAAAATAATAATAATAATAAACGTGCGTAAATTTTCATACGACAATACTAATAATAATAATAATTATTATTATTACGATAACTTTTATCGTACACGACGATAGAACCCGCGCGATTTGTGCGTTCGTACGTGCGTGCGTGCGTTTTTTTAAACGGGAAAACGACCGAAAATTAACTCACTTAAATGAATTAACTGAACAAGAATTTGCGGTTGTTGCGTTTTATATAATTTATTATTATCAATATAATATTTATTAATTTTATTATTATTAATAGAAGTAGCAGTAGTAGTAGTAGTAGTAGTAGTATTGCAATTGGCTTCGTAAACCGACAAGACCGGCATGTTAAGATATTGAAAACACAGATAAATAATAATAATGAGAAAAAAAAATGATTTTTTTTATGTGTGTACAATAATAATAATAATTATCGAATATGGCGCGAAACGAAACGCAAACAAACTTAAAACACCTAAGCAGATTGTCACCGCTTTAGCGACTGACCAGAAACCAAAGGAATTGTCTCGGCATACGTTTTTCTTTAACAATGTAAAAAAACATGGTTCGATCATAAGCGAAACAATTTCAAACCGTGTCAATTGTGATTTTTTTTAAAAAAAAATGAGCAAACGTGGTATCGCTAAGAATTACCGGATGGTTTAAGACCGCATAATCGAAACGTCGAGCTTAACGTCTTTTTATTCCCGATAAAATAACGAAAATAATATTCACGTCGTTTAAACTTCCTTATTTTTTTTTTTTTTTTTCAGAGAGGAATGGCTGTTTATTATAATTTATTATAATCGAAAAAAAAAATTATTTTATTTTATTTTATTTATTATCAATCGATATTGATTATGAACGATAATCGATTAATTTGTTATTAATTATTATAAATTAATTAATAATAATCGAACATTAATTATGTTTTGTAATGTTTAATTAAATTCACACAGACGCAAACGGAAAAAAAAAAACCCGTAAGAAAACCGAACGAACGCCTTACTGATTTCAATGATGATGATGATGATGATGATGATGATGATGTCAGATAACCTCAAATATGGCTTGGTTGCAATATTTTGTAATATTTTTACATTATTAACGTATATATTTATTAATTTAAGTGTAAAAACATTAAACGTTATGGATTTTAATAAACGGTATCGAATTTAACCTAATTCTATGTAATTTTTCATCGTTCTCTCCCCACCATTCGAAAACTACTATGCAGTTAATTTTTGTAAGACGTATACCGATCGCGGCAAATAAAAAAAATTTGTTTAAAATTATATATTTAATCGTACTCACCTGTATTTATTCCTTTTTTCGAAAACATTACGATTAATAAAAACAATTTTTAATACGAATAAACAACATTAACAAAATAATAAATGAAAATAGAATTGAATCCTTTATCGAGAGAATATTGCACAATACTTCACTATATACACACACACGTAAAATGGTTGTTCGAGATGTGTGAATCTAACGTTCCCGCCCATCTTGTTCATACGCCATGGCGTGGCGTCCTTGAGTGAAATAGTTATGCCGGCATTCCTATAATTTGGGTCACGCCTATCATCAATATTTATTATAATTCGAATCCGTTAAAATAATTCGTTATTATTTATGTATTTAATTAAAAACCGTTTATTTTTTTATTAAAAACATTTACCGTATACGTTTAATCGTCGTCCGAACGTACTTTCAACGAAAATAACAATTATTTTCATTCTGTAAATTGGTTTACACTGCGGAAATTTCCACTTATGTTACGTTTATGGAAGCGGTTTGAATACGTTGGGCCCGGTATCGAGCACAAAAATCAATAAAATATGGTAGCCAAAGTCGTCGTCATCAAAAAGTTAGTAGTAGTTTACTTTTTTTTTAATTTTTTTTTTTTTTTATTGAAATCGTTTTTAAAACTACCTGTTTAATAAACTTTTATAAATAGTTTTTATTTAAATTTTACAAAGAGAAAAAAAAAATTAACAATTATAATAAATCGAATAAAAAAGAATTGGTAACACAATTAAATTTAATAATAATAATAATGATATTTTTAACTTTGGATATACCTGACCTCAGGTTTAGTTTTATGCAATACCCCGACGACTGATAGAAACACACTCGACCAAATACTCGATTCTGAATAATTAATTTACGGCAGATATTTACAATTTAAACGTGGCACTTTCTCTAAAGTCTAAAACTAC